CCCCCCCACCCCCCACCCCCGCCCACCAGAAACCACGAGGGTCTTCAGTTTGGTGCCCGTCTCTCCCTGGCTGTTCCTCCCCGTCCTGTCTGCGTAGGCACCTCATGCATCTTTAAACAGTGTGTTCCGTCTGGACAAGCGGAGTAGCAAACCCAAACCGGGCAGCGTAGAGGGCGACGCCCCCCTAACAGAGACTTGACGCGGAGACTCCCCGGAGAGGACGCACAGACTGGCCTCAGCTTCCCCGGACGCACAGGAGCCCCGCAGCTCCCTGGGAGGTTGCCGAGCACCGGGGCCGTGTGACCGGCCGGCCGGAGGGAAGGGGCTGCCCGGGGTCCCCCTCTGGCTGCTGGGAGGAGGGCCCAGCAAGCCGCTTCTGGGGGTGGAATGAAAGTCCCCGGGCGCCCCCAACGGAGCGGGCAGCGCCTTCAGGGGGCCGCGGGCAGCCAGGTCACGGGCAGCCAGGCCAAGGGCATCAGGGGCTGGGAGCTTTGCGGCGCGGGGTCCTGGTGACGCCAGCCCAGATGCTTCTGCCTCTTTGGTCCGGGCTGGTCGCCCGGTGCCTCGGCGCACAGCTGCCGTGCTGGGGCCTCCCTTCCCCTGCAGGCCCCTGTCCCCGTCCCCACCCCGCCTCTGCTAAGTCTTCTGGTTCCTAAACCATGCCCTCCTCCTGGCCCAGCGCCCTCATGCTCTGCGAGCCACATCTCGGCAATGGGTGCTTGTGAGGGAAATGTGTTTACCTTCCACCTGGAAATGCGATTCCACCCTTGCACTTAATTAATAATTGGCTAGAAAGAAAATTCTAGGCTGGAGATGATCTCCCTTCAGAATGTTAAAGGCACTGCCCCGTGGCGTGCATGTCGCATTACTGCTGCAGGGGAATGCAGAGGAGGGAGTCCCCCCACACACACCCCCGCCCCTGGCAGAGTAGGGGATTTCTGGAGGGGCCACACCTTTGGTGTGGGGCCAGACTGGCTTTAAAATGTTTCCTTTCCTTTTTTTTTTTTAATGTTTATTTATTTTTGAGAGAGAAAGAGAGAGAGTGAGTGTGTGAGAGCAAGGGAGGGTCAGAGAGAGAGGGAGACACAAAATCTGAAACAGGCTCCAGGCTCTGAGCTGAGTGTCAGCACAGATCCCAACACAGGGCTCAAACCCACGAACCACGAGATCATGACCTGAGTCGAAGCCGGAGGCCTGACCGACTGAGCCCCCAGGCGCCCCTAGAACACGTTTCAGTACCACAGAGTCCTGGCAGGCGTCACCTGCACAGCCACCGTGTCTGGTGCAGGGGGCAGAAGCCAACAGCTCCATTTGGAGCTCCTTCTAGGGTCACTGTTCTAAGTTTTCCGCTTGTTTTTTAGTAAGTTTTGGTAACTCGTATTCTCTTAGAAAGCTTATCCATTCATTTGACAAATCTCCTTTGAGCACATACTGTGCGCTGGGGGCTGTCCTGGGCACCGGGGGCACGGTGGCGAGGACGAACCGCCCTGCCCGCACGTGCGTCTGCTCCAACGTGGACAGACAGACGTTGTGTAAAACAAGGAAGGTGTGCAGTGGGCTTGAGGGCGTGAAGGGATGCTGCAAAGCAAAACGAAACAGAGAGGAGTAGGGAGGGGCAGCTGCGGTGGGGGGGGGAGGAGTCAGCCAAGCAGACCCCCCCCCAGAAGAGCATTCTAGACCGCGACCCCGTGACCTGGAGGACAGAGGGCATGGGGTGGGGGAGGGGGCAGCTGAGACGGGAGGGGAGTCGGGCCGCGGTACAGCTTTGTGGCGTGCTGGCGGCGTGGGCCTTCTCTGCGGCGATGGGGAGCCCAGCAGGACTTCAAGTGGAAGAGGGGCCAGATCTGCCTCCGGGGGCGACCGGGAGGAGCCTCCTAACTCGGGCAGCAGGGGAGGTGACAGGCAGGGGCTGGGAACGTGGGGGCAGAAAATGAAGAGTTTCCCTCAAGTCGGTCACATGTGCATCAAGTATCGCAGGTTCGTTAGAATTAACCAGAGTCTGCTGGCCTCTCTGTCACCACTAATTCTTAAGACAATCTCTCTTGCTAGAATTCCTAGCTTCCTACATTAAAATGAGTGATTTTATTTCCCAGCGTGTTCGCGCGGGAAAATCCTCCAACTCTGCACACGTGACAGCAGGGGCACACTGTTCCCATCCCCTGACAAACGGGCGGCCATCCAGGCTTGTAGGTGACGGCCGGCTGGGCAGTAGTCAGGTGGCCCGGGCGGGTTTCGTCGGAAGAAGTTCACCTTCAAGTGGCTTTTCCATTTAACAACATACTGAGAACGTCCTTCCCCGTCAGCTCACACGTACACACCCGGTTCTAACAACTGCCCAGAACCCCACAGACGGCACGTGCTGTGGTTTCCGTAGCCGTGACCCCTCGGCAGACATCTGGGACGCCCCACTGCTACCAAACCGTGCCGCAGTACCCCTCACATCTACCTGTGTGTGTTTATCGCGTTCGGTCCCGTAAGTGAGGCTGTTCACCACGTCGCCATCTGGAAAAAGCTGTACCAACTGACATGCCCACCCCTGGGGGCCCGGACGGTCCAATCTCCCCGTATTCCCACCGAGTCTGGAAACACTGCCACTGTTCTCCCGGGCACTACACCCGGCTGGTCACGATGAACATCCACCGAGAACTTCTTAGCAGATGTTAGTTCTTCCTTCATAATTCAGGTTCATAATTCTATTTATCTGTATGTTCTAGGAAAGTCGGGCATGTCAAGCTCGTTACCGGCACTTTCCCCCGTGTTCTAGTGTTGGATGTGCTTGGTTTCTCACCTCTCAATGTCACTGTCACGTGCCTCTCGGGAGATGTCAATAAGTGTGCTTGCTCAGGCCGCCTTGAAACAGAAACGCCCTGGGTTTAAAGATCACTACACAGGGGCGCCTGGGGGATCGGTCGGTTAAGCATCCGGCTTGGGCTCAGGTCATGATCTTGCGGTTTGTGGGTTCGAGCCCCGCGTCGGGCTCTGTGCTGACAGCTCGGAGCCTGGGGCCTGCTTCTGATTCTGTGTCTCCCTCTCTCTGCCCTTCTCCCACTTGCTCTCTCTCTCTCTCAAAACTAATAAATACACATAAAAAAATAAAGATCGCTAAACAGACTATATCTCGCATACAGATTTACCGAAGGAAGAGGACCGCGTGGAAGTACAAGCACATCCCGAGGACGCTGAGAGGCAGAGGGAGAAAAAAGAGGCTCACGAGCACAAAACCACGCTAGTGAGGGAAGAACCGGAAGTGCCGCCACACAGAGTCCCAGAGACTCACCCCGACGGCGAGGACCCGTGGGAAGACGACGCGGGGACGGGAAGGTTCGGCGGCCTACAGATCGGCGGCGCCGGGGAGGGGCCCAAGGAGAGCACAGCTGCCAACGTCAAACTGCCCTGCCGGCAGCGAAAGCACTACTCGTTCACGGAGGCCACTGAAAACCTGCATCTGGGCCTTCCCGCGTCCGGGGGGCCGGCTGGCGCAGGCAGGGCCCGGGGGCTCGAGGAGGGACCGAAGCCAGAACGTTCCGGGAGCGGGTATGAGCCCTCTTTCAGCAAGTCGTCCCGACCGAAAGCAAAAGACGCCTTCAGGGAGAAGAAAAGCAGCCTCATGGAGGAACTGTTTGGGTCGGGCTATGCCCTTCAACATGACCCGACTGGCATGGCTGTCCCCAGAGGGGCCGAGGGGGCACCAGAAGGTAAGACGCCGCCCCGGCCGCCTCCCGGCCAGGCCTCCGCCAGCAACGCTTTTGGAGATTCTAAAGTCACTGTGGCAAACTCCATCAAGTCGTCTTCGCCGACCGAGGGGCAAAGGAAAATAATTCTTTAAATATAAGCAATATCCTAATACATTCTGATTGGATATTCTTGTTCTCATGTGCCTTCAACTTGTGTGTGTGTGTGTGTGTGTGTGTGTGTGTGTGTTGCAGGACTTAACTGACTTTGCATAACCAAGGTTTTGTTCTAATTCTAAAAATCCAGGGGCGCGTCGGGTAAGTGTCTGGCTCTTGATTTCGGCTGAGGTCGAGATCTCACGGTTCGTGGGTTCATGCCCCGCGTCGGGCTCCTCGCTAACAGTGCAGAGCCTGCTTGGGATTCTCTGTCTCCCTCTCTCTCTCTCTCTCTCTCTCTGCCCCTTCCCTGTTCCTGCTCTTTCTCTCAAAATAAATGAACATTTAAAAATAAATAAATATCCATTGTGATTACCAATGAGAACATTTCAAATACAAAATTATATCTTTTTTCCCTACAAATGAAACATGTCCATTATCTTTTGGAAAACTGATTACATGACTTCCATGGCTCGTAAGACCAAGTCAGTCACCAAGGACACGCATGTCTCATGTACACAACCATGTTCTCAGTGATCGCCTTGTGTTTTAACTAAAAACACCGAAGCAGCTCTGAAAGGGAACAACATGGTCAGAAGACTCTACTTTAAAAAAAAAAAAGAAAAAAGGCACAGTGATTACCAAGCTTGGTTTTATGAAAACTGTTTTTGACTGCTCTCCTACTCGGCTAAACCGGGCATGTGACATCCTGCCTTTGTGGGGACACTGACTTCAGGGTACACCTGAGACTCTCTATTTCGCTATTTCTATTTCTACTGGCTACATCCCTGCCCTTGGCCTGTATTCTGTTACTCTTGTTCTAAAAGAGCTCATGGGCCTAATTAGCGTCCACTCGAGCCGGCTGCTCCGTCCTAACAGGTTCAGGACACCGACAGCATCTCCTACGGGGACGAGAAGGGGGCTGTACTCCCAGGGCTCAGCAGCTTACTTACCTCCACTGATTTTTAAGGGCCACTTCTTCATAACAGAGACCGTGCTATTTCCAAAGAGGTTTATCGGGTTAGTGTGCAATAACACTTAAAAAAAAAAACTGAGAATAGTGAAATAAAACTTTTAAAAGAGAGTAAAAGCCATGGTGGGAAAACCACTGTATTCAAAACCAAAGATGAGATAAATACCATGTGTTGTTAGGAAAACCACCCTAGGAAAGAGAGGCAATGGGCACGGGGGAGGAGGGAGAAGCAGCCTTCCCACAGGCTGAGGAGGGGAGATACACAGATGCAGGTCAACTGATAGAAATGCCTGGCCCTGAACTCTGGGAAATGTACTAAAAAGATTCTTAAAAATGGTGTGCAGAGTAACATGCCATGTTATAACGTCTCCTTGCTTTATAACAGATGCAGAATTTCTCAAGGGTCTTTTCTTAAGCCTATCCACCACAAAAGCATAAATCAAAACATTAAATCAGAGCTATCCAAAAGTCTTTCTGTAGGGAAGCACTGTTAATAAAAATATAATCCAAGGCTGTTGCTTTCTGGTCATCTTGTTTAAAAAATTATGCATAGGGGCACCTGAGTGGCCCAGTCGGTTAAGCGTCCAACTCTTGATTTCAGCTCAGGTCATGGCCTCACAGTTCATGAGTTTGAGCCCCACGTTGGGCTCTGTGCTGGCAGCTCAGAGCCTGGAGCCCTCTTTGGATTCTGAGCTCGGGAATACAACATTACCTTTTAAAAGCCAGTGACAGAATTTAGTTTTAAGGTGCTGTGGTCAACTGAGTTAACAGTCAAAGCCCTCTGCCACCCGTCACATGTAGAAACTGGTCTTAGCAAGTACGTGGCCGTAAGGAAGGAAAAGTCACACAAGCCCTTGCAAAACTTTTAATTATAAAAAAGTGTTTCACATGGAGAAACTAGACTCCTCGTGCTGATCATTTCACAGTGTGTACAAATACCAAATCACTATGTTGTACTCATGAAACGAATACGTTATACGTTAATTATAATAAAAAAAAAAGAGCAACAGTAAAAAAGAAGTGTTTTTAAAAATGTATCCACTCAAGTTAATCTAATCAGAATTCCTGGTTTTTTAAGTTTGTTCCATTCCACAGAGCATAAATATTAAGTGCTTATAAAACACACTTCATTTGAATGCTTTAAATATGAAACACAATTCAAACATAAAACAATTCATTATGATCTCATGAATACATTTACAAAACACAGGAATGAAAAATTAACAGCTTCAAATAAGGAGATAATGCCACACAAAGGCTCCCCCAACACACGACATTTTACACAGAGGAAGCGGAAACACACAAGCAATGTCAGTTAGTGTTACCCTTTTAGCAGTCCTACGGAGGGGGGGGGGTCCAAATTCTAGTGGTGGCATTAAAATTAAATTGCTTTCTAATCTGGGTCAAAAATACCACAAAGTCTTTAAAGTACGTAGGTTGGAAAACCGACTTCCCGGTTGGCACCGTGACCTTTAAAATACGCCCAGAGGGCAAACACCCTGCCGCAAGCCATGGACGCCCACGCCACACACCTTCTCCCAACAGGCGTGCGGCTCTGCCAGCCGGGGCACTCGCCTGAGACACTGGCCTTCTGGCTCAGTGACACAGGGACAAGATCATGCTTCTGTATCTCACAAAATCTAAGAACAGACACATTCAACCAAAAAAACCTAACCCGTGTGCTTTTGTTTCCTTTAAAAAAGAAAAAGTGTCAGGTGTTTAACGTATAAGCAAAAATCCTCCGTTCACAGGGTCACAGCCGGACTTGTCTGGTCTCTCAGCTGAAAGGGTGCAGCACAATAGCCACGACTTTGTTACAGACTAAAATCCAACAGGTGATGCCAACACCGCCTAGAAACCAAGAAATTCACATCAGAGGGTGTGCCCGTACTTCTGGCCTCTGCTCCCTCTAATTTACAGGGATCCAATTCTTTCTCAGCAGTGCCAGGCTAACACCTCGGTGTGTGGTTCCCAGATGCAAATTCATCAGACCTACTGACTCACAGGGCTGCCATCTTCATTAAACAAGATTTATACAGAACTGGCAACCACCTGAATTTCTTTCCTGCCAGAGATGTGTGTTCTTATTTAATAAGTTATAAAACCACCCTGTAAGACTATCTGTTTTTCCTTCTCAAAATACCGTTATAAACTAAGCAACCCATGCCGTTCATGCCCAGTTGATACGAAGAGATAGGCATGCAGGCCGGAAGAGTGGCCAACAGCCCCCCACAAGCCTGGGCCTCGCGCTCTCCTGCCCAGCACCCCTGAGAGCCCACCGGCAGTGCCCACAGGGCCAGGGGTCTGGTGGGGGAGAGAAGGGCAAGGGGAGGTGGGTGCAGTGAACTGGAATCTTTGGAAACCGTCATTCCTTTGCACTCGGGAAGGTGAAAAGCGTGAGCACAGAGCACAACCAGAGGCTATGTGCTCCAGCGGTTTTCTCGACAGTGAAAAATTGGGTTCTAAATAAATATCTTTCAATAGAGAAATTAGTAAATTAGGACACCTCTAAATGAAGAGCAGTTATTCAAAACTCCTTAAAAAGTTTACTGATACGGGAAAGGGTTTACAATATAAAGTAAAAGGAGGTAGAAAGTTACATGTGCCAGAGGACCTAATGGTATAAAACAAACGGATGATAAGACGGGAAAAACATATCACAAAGAGAAGTTATCTACAGCTTATGAGATGGTTCTTAAAGTTCTTATGTTTAAAAATCTTGTATTTTCTTTTTTTTTTAAATGTTTTTTTTTTTTTAATTTATTTCTAGGAGAGAGAGAGAGAGATAGCGTGAGCAGGGGAGGGTCAGAGAGAGAAGGAGACACAGACTCTGAAACAGGCTCCAGGCTCTGAGCTGGCAGTCAGCACAGAGCCCGACGCGGGGCTTGAACCCACGAACCGCGAGATCATGACCTGAGCTGAAGTCGGACGCTTAACCGACTGAGCCACCCAGGCGCCCCTTGTATTTTCTTATATGCACTACTTTTAACATCCAAAGGATATCACCTTTCAATTATAAAAGAAAGGCCAACAGCGGTAAATGCCGGAGAGAGGCCAGGAGTGAGGGAGTAAGAAGGTCACAGCAGCGAGGGACTGGAGGCCGGCGCTTCAATGAACAGGGTGCCAAACTCGAGGGACGGACCTAGACTGTCAGCAGATGTGACTGAACTCCAGCTCTCCTACTGGACGTGGCAGGGACGCTGGCCGCGCGAGAGAACTGCTCTAGAGCTGCTGCTTCCCTGCGAGACTGGTGTGAGGCGCGGACACTACGTGCCGCTCACCAGTGAATGGACAAGTTGGGGTTGCTTCCCCTCGTACCCCACACGTCCGTACTCTCCCGTTAGGATTTCCAGAAAACTCTTACCTGCTACTCTGGTAGGAAACGCCACCAGGCGGTCTAGTGGAGTTATCCATTTACTTGGTACCACAGCCACAGGGACAGAGTAGTACTTCCAGATGAGTGACACCATCAGGGCAGCCTGAAAGACACCGGCGGTGAGCAGAAGACCGGCCAGTCACACAAGCAACAACCAGGAATGCGAGGGGCGTGCAGACATACTAAAGAAACTCTCCAAACTGATGAGCTCGAGCCTAGCAATGCGTCCTCGCAGGAAACAGACCGGAGGCATAGCCGCTAATTCCCGCTGGCGGCACCCAGAAGCGTGTCTAATTAGAGACTCGCCCACAGGACGTGAGAACACACTGCAGCCAAGTGCGGTGCCACCTGTGGGGAAGCCTTAATGTGAACGATCAACACGCCCTATCAAATTAGCTGATGGGTTAACCCAGGTCTCCCGGAATGAAGGGGTTCTTTTCTCACTGAATATCTCCTTCAAGAGGACAGACTATGACAAATACACCTTATTAATGACAAAAGTGATCTCAATCCTCTCTGATCCTTGGAAAATCTGTCTTCCTGCCACCCACAAGCGCTGCTGGCCTCTGCGTGAGGAGGGAGCCCCGGGAGTGCGCACGGACGGCAGCAAAGCACATCCCTTCGGCTGTCTCCACCCTTTCCGTGGCCCTGAATCGGCCGCTCAAGGAGCGGCCACAAAAGAGGGCATCTGGCCTGATTCCCGTCCTCAGGAAACCAGTCAGTGAAGTGCCGATGCCTCCGGATGGGTAGTGAAACGTACCTGGACACCCGGGGTCCGCGGGGCTGCCTCGAGTCCTTTCCCCGGTGAGGAGCACATGAGGCGCCGGAACGCAGAGCTCACTGAAAGCAGCCAGCGAGGGGTGCTGCACACCCACACCCTCAGCGTGCTGCTGCAGCAGCAGCAGGGCTGCCCTGGAACCTTCTCACCCCCGGCAGGAAAGCTCGGAATCGATATACTGGGTTTAACGAGGACAGTAGTCTCCCCGCCCGGAGAGCAGACGGTCACTTCCACCCCCACGCGCTGCGTGACAGCCAGTGACCGTGACCAGCACTCTCACAAAACACAACACCTAAGCTTCTCTTCCTTCCCCACGGGCTCCCCAAACTGCACTGGAATAAAGGCAGTAGGAAAGAGCCCCAGAGAAGCTACTTCAGCATCCGTGTGCTGGAAAGCTCAACGTCTCACAGCTCCAACCGAGAAGGGCTTTCCTGGAGCCCTCGCGCACTGCTGGTGGGAATGCAAGGCGGTGCACCACTGCGAAACAGTCTGGGGGCGCCCCAAAACATTAAACATACAATTACCGTAGAACTGCAGCAAATATAGAATTCCACTACTGGGCAAGAAAACGAAAACACTAAGTTGAAAAGCTATACAGGCCCCCTGATGTTAATGCAGCATTATTTGTAACAGCCAAGATACGGAAGCAAAGTGTCCAATGACAGATGGATGGATAGAGAGGATTCCATTGTGTGAATGGAATCCTACTCAGCCATTAAAAAGGATGAGATCTTGGGGCGCCTGGGTGGCTGGGTTGGTTAAGCATCTGACTCTTGCTTTCGGCTCAGGTCATGATCTCCTGGTGTGTGAGTTCAAGCCCCCAGTCGCACTTTGTCCTGGCAGCACAGAACCTGCTTGGAACTCTGTGTCCCCCTCTCTCTGCCCCTCCCCCACTCGTGCTGTCTGTCTCTCTCAAAACAAATAAACATAAAAAAAAGATAAAAAGATGAGATCTTGCCATTTGCAACAACACGGACGGATCTAGAGAGTACAATGCTATGTGAAATAAGTTAGAGAAAGACAAATTCCATACCATTTCGCTCACATGTGGAATCTAAAAAAACAAAAAGGAATAAACACGAAAACTAGGACCTAAATAAATTTATAAAAGCAGATGGTGACAACACTCATACTGGTGAGCACCAAGTAACGCAGAGAACTGTAGATTCATTACGCTGTACGCCCGAAACTAACACTGCAGGTCGTGCTTCAATTTAAAGAGAGAGAAAGGCTTTCTTCAAGTCTAACTTAAAATCCACAGTGCTCAGGTCTATGCTGGCAGGGCCACGCAGCACAGCAGCTGAGGGTGGAAAAACCTGACTTCTCACACTCAGATTCTGGGGACCCAGAGCTCTGGAGAACAGTCCATTATCAATTCTCATGACCCCAGAACACAAGAAAACACTTACTTGCAATACGTAGAAGGCAACACTTATAACCCATTTTATCTTGGCCAATTGGGCTGTTCGAGCTTTCACTGAAAGGAGCAAAAAAGATGAAATCATTATCATCAGTCCTGAAAAATGAAGAAAATACTCAAATACACATAAATGTTATTTTCCTTTTATAAAATGTTTTCTAATCATGTTGTATAACATTCGTTCAGTGTATTTAGAAAATATAAAACTGGGGCGCCTGGGTGGCTCAGTCAGTTGGGTGTCCGACTTCCGCTCAGGTCATGATCTCGTGGTTCGTGGGTTTGAGCCCCGCATCAGGCTCTGTGCTGACAGCTCAGAGCCTGAAGCTTGTTTCAGATTCTGTGTCTCCTCCTCTCTGCCCCTTCCCTACTCATGCTCTCTCTCTGTCTCAAAAATAAATAAAGTTAAAAAAAATTTTTTTTAAAGAAAATATAAAACAAAGGGGTGCCTAGGTAGCTCAGTCGGTTAAGCGTCCAACTTCGGCTCATGTCATGATCTCACAGTTCGTGGGTTCAAGCCCCGCGTTGGGCTCTGTGCTGACAGCTCAGAGCCTGGAGCCTGCTTCAGATTCTGCGTCTACCTCTCTCTCTCTGCCCCTCCCCCACTTGTGCGTGTGCGCTCTCTCTCAAAAATAAACGTTGAAAAAAAAGAAAATTAAAACAGAATTTCTTAAAAGCCACACGTTATACCATTAATTGAAATAGAATCACACACAACTTATAAGATTTGAAGCTTTAATTTTGAAAATGCTTAAAAGTATCCATCTACATCAGAGATCCCTTTTACAGTGAACTTACCACTCACCAAGAGGACTGCATTTGCTCCCCAGGCCGCCCTGTCTCCACAGCACACTAATTCAGAAAAGGGAGCCTGGCTAGTCTGGGGCCCGGGTGGGCCCCTCCACATGTCTTACCGGCCTTCCCCGGCACACAGGTGAAGTGTCTGTGTCACAGGACACTGCTAGGGACGGCGGCACCAGCAGCGGTAAGCCCAAATCCCGGCCCTGAGGTCTATACCTGGGGAGGACATTGCTGGGCATTTTTCAGAGTGTTCACAAAAGCCCTTGGGCGTCCAGGATGACATTTTTTCCAGGCTTATCTTTAAAAGGATTGAATTAAAATGTCTACTCCAGAAAATGAAGAAAAACTCAGAAGATGTTAGTGGTTTCTGTGTTTAGGAAGCAAAGGTTCACGGGCAAATGAGGAGAAAGTAATAATTATTGCTAGGTTTCTTCCAGACAACTTAAAAGCTCCTTCCAACATTCAGAACATCTAACAATCAAACCGTACATTCTACGAATCTTTATATAAAGACTTCTCTACCAATCAGCTCCCGTAAAGCTTTCCCCACGACGACTGAAACCAGTACCGTGAGTTTTAAGCTTATCCGTCATCTTGTTGATCTTCCTCTCCAGCCGGGCGTATCTGGCGAATTCGTCCATCATGTTGACGGTGGAGAGCTCGTGCTTCATACCCTGGATCTCCGCTCTCATCTGCGACTCCTGCTCCGCGTCCTTCTGCAGCACCCTGGACATCTGGCGCAGTGCGCAGCTGGGGTCAGCCCCATTCCACAGGGGTGCCCCTTCTCCCCTCCCCCCCACTGCAGCCTCTTCCAGCTGGGCACGCCAACCCCACCCAAACAGCCAGCCTCCGCCCCTGCAACCACCACAAAGACAAAAACTCAAGTCTGACATGGATCACTATTCAAGTTACATGTTTCCTTTTGCAGATACGCTCAGGGAGCACTCCGGCACAAATGTATGTATCTTTCACTCTAACCGTGAAGTTTTGACTACAAAAACCAATTCCAGCGCCACTCAGGTGACAAGGAGCACACCTCCCCTTAGCTAGGCAGAGGAGGGTGGGGGTGGGGTGCTAGTGAGGAGGGCGTGGCCCAGCAGGAGGGCACCCCCACAGAGGTGCGCCTTGGCAAGGTGGGCAGAGCCAAGTACAGTGCTACAGGGTCTCCCAGAAAGGGCGGCCTGGCGGAGGCGTGAGCGCATACAGAGTAAGAGGGGAGCACCCAGGAGGGTCAGAGCCCAAGAGGGGCTGGCAGGCGTGGGAGTGGGGGAGCAGGCATGGGGGATGGGAGAAGCAGGCATGGGGGTGGGGGTGAGCAGGCATGAGGGGGGAAGCAGGCAGCAGTTAAGATGGAGTTACAAAGCATTAATACAGCAAACATAATGAAAATAATAGGAACCAGTTTTCTCACTGTCAGAAAAGGGGATTAGAACTATGGATCAGGAAAAGAACCAGAATAAATCCTACAGTGCTGAATTAGAATTGGAAGCATGGGTGTGAACTTGTGGTTTTCCGTGGATGGAGAAATATAGACGTAAATGTTTGTGAAGAGGCACCTCCGAGAGCCAGGCCCTGCATGGGATTGACTGGGACATGGCGGCCCAGATCACTCACATGGACGGTCCCCCAATTACAACCCCCCCCCCCCAACTGCAGGAACACTCGCCGCCTGGGACCAGAGAGCAGTGGCCACCAGGTGGCGCCATGCAGCGGTCAGGACAGGTCTGGATCCCCTGAAAGGGAGGGTGCAGTTAAGATCAGAGAAATCCCCGAGGACCCACCCCAAGTAGAGAATGAACATCCTGAAATCGAAGCCAATGGCACAAGATGAGATGCAATAAGAACACAGCATCCCTTCTGCGACATCGGACAAGGATGCTCTAAGAAGGCCATTCTGCAAACTCACTGCCCTTGACCTATGCAGAAAAGTCATCTGTGCAAGCCCAGGAAAGACCGAGAATCCTTCCAGACTGAAGAGGCGTGACAAATATGTGTGACGCACAGTGCTAACCAGAGTCCTTTTGCTGCAAACGACCTCGGTTGGGAGGAGTGAAACAGGAAAGTGAGAGAAGGAAGGTCCCTGATGGTTGTGTTGTGGACAAGGCATCTGTTTATACACTAATGTACCCGGAAATGCAGGAGCTCAGGGGCAGCTTAATTTCAAATGGTTCAGGAAACAATGCCAGTTCTTTGTACTGTAAGCATAGCTTCCCTGCATGTTTGTTTCAAATTTTTAAAAATAGTTTAAAAAAAGATGAAAGAGGAGCACCCGGGTGGCTCTGTCTGTTAAGCCTTGACTCTTGATTTTGGCTCAGCTCACGACCTCACGGTTGGTGAGTTCGAGCCCCTCACCAGGCTCTGCTCTGATGGTACAGACCCCGGTTGGGATTCTCTCTCTCCTCCCCCTTTCTCTGCCCCTCTCCCACTGGCACTGTCTCTCTCAAAATAAATAAATAAACTTAAAAAAAAAAAAAAAGGAAAGAAGATAACGTATGAAGTGTACCCGCACAGAGCAAGGGCACAAGGAGTCTGTCCCTCCAGCCTAGGCTCCTCTCTGCATGATGGAACAACTCTTCCCACAGAGACCCGGGAGCCATGTCCCCATCACAGGCCTCCCTGGGCGCCTGCGCAAGTGCCGGTTCCCGGGACACCCTCTGAGGTTGCAACCTCCAGCGCCTGCAAGATAAGTTCCTCCTCGTGGGGACACGAGAGGCGTCTCGAGGACAACTGCACAAAGCACAGTGTTTGCTACTGCGCACCTTCCTGCTGGCCTCCTGCCAAGAGGAGGGGTCTCCAAACCCAGCTCTGTCCTCATCCCCTCTGTCCTAGCCTGACCACAACTCGACACCCGAACTAAAGGACATACATACTCCATACTGATCCACTCTGGAGACGAAAATAGGAATGAGCCAAATTTTCTTAAGAAAATCACAGAATTACCCTTAAGAGCAAATAGTCTATAGATGTTTAAACTTAATAAATCAAGAAAGGGGCAAGAAATAGATTTTTGGAGTGACAGAGGTATTATCTTTTTTTTTAATGTTTTTATTTATTTCTGAGAGCAAGAGAGAGAGACAGTGTGAGCAGGGGAGGGTCAGAGAGAGAGGGAGACACAGATTCTGAAACAGGCTCCAGGCTCTAAGCTACCTGCCAGCACAGAGCCCGACACAGGGTTCGAACCCACGAACTGTGAGATCATGACCTGAGCTGAAGTCGGATGCTTAACCGACTAAGCCACTCAGGCGCCCCATAGAGATATTAACTTGATTGTGACGGTGGTTACCCTACTGAATAAGGGCACAAAAACTCATCAAATTTCCCACCGACCTAGAAAACATGTTCACTAAATGCAAATTACACATCAGTAAACCTCACCTTTAAAACTAGAATCTTCAAAGGAGGGAACAGCAGCACAAACACATTACTTAGCAGTATAGGGAAAACACAAGAAAATTACAAACGGAAAAGGTCAAAGGTGTTGTTTAATCAGGACAAGGTGAGAGAGGATGGGGAAAATGAGCTTGCAGAGAAGGGCAGAATTCTGGGGTTGAATTTGACAACTGTACTGCTTGGGGGGGAGATGGATAAGCTACAACTCCAAGTATACAGAACTATTTGGAAGTGTTTAAGTTTGCAAACAGGTACCAACCTGACTCCAAGACCTCCCTGTAACAAACAGCTAAAATGGACTGGAATTATGAATGAATTATACGTGGGGGTGCATCCTCACGCCTGCTCTACAACAGGAACTCCTCAGGTGACCGTGCTCCTTGGGAAGGAGTAGGGTCTCAGGAAGGCACCTACGGCGGCAGGTCCTGCGGTGTCTGCCCCTCACCTCCGTGGCCTGGGCCCCTACAGGGAAACGGAGGCGGCCACTTTCTAAAGCTGAAAATGAAGGCAAAATCATCAATTATAAAAACGGCAGTGAGCCCCACAAACCAAGTCCCAGGGGGACGGCCTGGCCAGTGCCCAGGGTCAGCAAAGCGGAGACCTGGGAAGGAGCGGCTGCGGACGCCAGCGCTGAGCGCACCCTTGGCCACGTCAATCCTGGGACGCCTGCGCAGTGCGCCTCCCTACACCCCGCCCTCTGCCGCGTGAGTCCTGCGGCGCCTGCGCACTGCACCCCCTACACCCCGCCCCTCACCGTCGTTTCCGGGGCGCTTGCGCAGTACACGCAGCTCGCCGGGACTCTCACTCGGCCCAATGCGATTGTCAGGCCTGAAGCGCCTGCGCAGTGCGCCTCCTACGCCTTCGCGGAGTGGGTGCTCAAGGGGGCATCTTTGTCCACCTCTAACTCTCCCTTTGGCTAAACAAAGTCCTGGATCACCCACTATGGGGACTAGGCTCTGCCTTCCATATGTCCACCAGCTTGAACACAAGAGAGAACTCTCAGGAAGTTCTCTTAAGGCCAACCAAGTCAACACCAGGGCCTGGGTACCCTCATCCAGGCACCGACCTCCGCCCCAGAGTTCAGCTGAGATCCCCTCCCGGGACCTAGCCAGGCTTTGCGAGGCAGAGGACTTGTGATACTTAAGTGACTATAGGACCTCAACCGGCCTGCCCCTCCTTTGCTTCTGGCTAGGTGGAAAATGCTTCCGAAACACTGTAGGGAAGGCCGTCAGTGGAAGTAAGCTTTCTGAGTCTCCACGCGAGTCTTTCCCACGTACGTCCTCCAACAGGGCCTGTAATGGGCGGCCTCTAACGGTCGTGAAAGAACAGCATTTTACCCGACCCAGGACCAAAGCATTCCTTCGGAGCCTCACCACAAACCCAGCGACCAGGCGGTACAAATCTCTTCAGTACTCTTCCCTGTTCTGAACACCAAAACTAAGGTGTTCTACTAGGATAATTACAGCCCTGACAAATAGCGCTACAACCACGGGAAAACAAGTTTAAGAAAACTAACCAGTCTGAAGTTAGAGAGGCTGCACAGCCCGTGGGAAACAGCACAGAATGCTGCTTCCAAAGGAAACCCAGCGCCCTTTCCTTTAAATGATGAACACCCACGAGCACAAGCCTCACGCACATCTAGCCTGCGGCGATGACCTTCGGTGCGCGCGCTAGCTGCAGAGCACTTTGGTGGAAGCTTGGCTAGAGCCTGAGATGATGACAGGTCCTACTTCTGGCCGCTGCCACACCCCAAACACACACTCCTCTTCCCCCCTCCACTAATGGTAAATTATGAACAACTCATAGAGGAACACAAAACATGGCCTCTTTGAGCAATTTAGATTAGTTTCATATGGCTCCCACAAGAGATGAAATGGGATGGGGTACAGAAGACGAAGCGAGGTGATACTCCAAGAAAGACGGGCAAGCAGCCCCACGGAACGGGAGAAAATATGTACAGATCATACATCTCAAAAGTAGTTGAATCCACAATATACAAACAACTCCTCACTCAACAACAACAACAACAAAAAACAAATGACCATTCACTCCCTGCTGTGGTCCTGCAGAGGATGCCCTGCCCCTAGGGACAGCTCCTGAAGCCCCATTAAAAATGGGACGGGGCACCTGGGTGGCTCAGTCAGTTAAGCATCCGACTTCGGCTCAGGTCATCACCTCACAGCTCACGAGTTTGAGCCCCATGTTGGGCTCTGTGCTGACGGCTTGGAGCCTGTAGCCTGCTCCAGATTCTGTGTCTCCCTCTCTTTCTGCCCCTCCCCCACCTTCATGCTCGCTCTTTCTCAAAAATAAACATTAAAAAAATTTATTTTAATGGACAAAGGACTTGAATAGACATTTCTCCAAAGAAGATATACAGACGGCCAAAAAGCATGTAAAATGTTGTTAACATTACTAATCATCAGGAAAATGCAAGTCAAAACCACAGTAGGATGCCACCTCACATCCACTGAGGATGGCTATTTTAAAAACAAAACAGAAAATAGCAAGTGTTGGAAACTGTGGAAAAATTAGAACCTTGTACACTGCTGGGGAGGAAGCAAAATGGTGTAGCAGCTATGGAAAACAGTTTGGCAGTTTCTCAAAAAACTGAAAACAGAATTACCGTATGATCCAGTAATTCCACTTCTGGATAAAAGTACTGACAGCAGAGGCTCTAACAAGTATTTGTACATCTATGTTCCAGCAGCACTACTCACAAGAGCCAAAAGGTGGAAACAACCTACATGTCCATCAGAAGATGAATGGATAACCTAAATATGGTCTATAAACAGAATGGAATACTATTCAGCCTTAAAAAGGAAGGATATCCTAGCACATGCTACAACAGGGAGAGCCTTTAAAGACATTATGCTGAATGGGGCGCCTGGGGGGCTCAGTCAGTTGAGTGTCCAACTTTGGCTCAGGTCACGATCTCACAGCTCGTTGAGTTTGAGCCCCACGGAGGGCTCTGTGGTGACAGCTCATAGCCTGAAGCCTGCTTCAGATTCTGTCTCCGTTTCTCTCGCTCTGCCCCTCCCCTGCTCCGTGTGTGTGTCTCTCAAACATTTTTTTTTTAAAGGAAAAAAAGATGGGCAGAGGCCAGCTCTTCAAAGGTCTATTATGCGATGCTAAGTACTTGGGACATCATCTTAAAGACTAGATAGCATCAGGAGAGATTCTGGAAGGGCCTGGAAGGTTTAGAGAGAATTTTGTATGCCTTAGGACCAAGCAGGTAGTAAAGTCCTAGCACAGAGTTTACGCAAAACAGGCACTCAGCGAATGCTGGTAGAATAAAGAATGAAAGTAGAAATCTTGCCTAGGCTTCCATTCCACCCCCCCACCCCCACCAATTTAAGTCAGGACAGAACTGCCTTTCGCCCAACAATGGTTGCACCCGGTCTTGGAGGTCTGTCAAACAGCCCTCACTCCCGCTGTGGACATAAAGAGGGCGCCCTTCCCCCAGGAAACAGCTCCCTGTGTCCCACACACACCTGACACAAATTTGCCACCCAAACCTCTCTATTCGGGTTCCAATAGTCAGAGGGACAAAACTCGGAGAATCACAAACCAAGGACCAGCCTCCGCCCCCGCAGTCCCGAACGGGATGACACGGTGCAACCCCTTGACCGTCTGAGTCGGTCTCCTCCTCTGCCAGTAAAGGGAGATGGGGTGACAGTCACGTCTCACAGCAGCTCTGACAGCAGCCGTGACGACTGGACACGAGGTAATGAAGTCATGCCTACGCAAAACGCACGTCGGAGAGCTGCACCCCCGTGCCCCTTGCTCCCCTGAATACAGCAAGCATCACACGGTGCCGAGATTCTGTCTACCCTGCCTCCCACCCCAAGAACGGGGACTGCTGCACCCTGACATCCTTCCCCAGGGGACCCGGCACAGCTGGCACTCTGGCACCGGCCTCCGGGAAACCCTGGGGTCCGTGCCGCAGGCGGCGGCCCCTTAGCAGCGCCGGCTGCGCGGTGCCTCCAGGGACCGGGGGTGAACGGAACTAGGCGCGACTGGCAGAGGGGCGCGGAGAACGCCCCGTCCGAGCGCTGCTGCCACGGGAAAACGTGGCCGAGTGTTACCAGGTCATTCTTGTTTTTTCCTCCGCGAGAATCCAGAAATCGGGGTTTGGGAGTACAGCCTTGCAACTCTTAAACGCTAGCAACTGAAAAAAAAATCTTGAAGCCGAACAGCCCAACCAAGACGCCTCTCCGGCCCTCATGCGGCAGGTCTGACTCCCGCCTCCCCCCCCCCCTCCCCGTGTCTACGCCGGGCTCACCGGGGACCGTGGCGGAGACCCACCGGCCCCCTGGAAAGCCAGACAGCCACTTACGAAGGAGGAGAAAGACGGGAGGAGAATCCGGAGGACATTGCACCCAAACACGAAGCTGAGCACCAGCAGCCACGCCCAGCGGTCGGCCTCCTCGGCGCTCATTCCCGAAGCTCCTGGAGGTGCCGGCTCAGCTAAGGTAACTCCATGGGGACCACGCCGGCGCCCTCGCCCTCGCGGGCGCCTGCGCAAGAAAACCCAGCGACCTCTGAGGCGCGCCGCCGCGCCTGCGCACTGCGCCGCACTCGGCGGGGAGGCGGAGTCATCTTTTCCTCTCGGTTCTGGTGAACGCTTTCCAGCCTGCTTCTTGGCCTTTCGGGCTTCCGTAGCCTGGCTGCACCCTCCCCTCGATCCCCTGGCCGCGGTTTTACAGGCTCTCAGCTGCCCTCGTCTTTAGCTCTGTTGTGGCTGCGAACCCCTTATTATTATGTAACGAGTACTTTCTTTAAATTGACTCGCTTTTATTCCTAGATAATTTTATTTTAAAATAATCCGTTCCAGGGGCGCCTGGGTGGCTTAGTCGGTTAAGCGTCCGACTTTCGCTTGGGTCATGATCTCGCAGTTCGTGGGTTCGAGCCCCGCGTCGGGCTCTGTGCTGACTGCCAGCTCAGAGCCTGGAGCCTGTTTCAGTCTGTGACTCCCTCTCTCTCTGACCCTCCCCTGCTCACGCTGTCTCTCTCTCTCTCTCTCCCCTAGAAATAAATAAAAAAACATTAAAAAAATAAAATAAAATAAACCGTTCCATAAATGGAAAACTATCATAATTATAGTAGCAAATAGCTAAGAAGAAACGCTTTGTAATTATGTGTAAAAGGCCTTGAGTTTACATTTCAGAACTGAAATAAGTCTAAACAGTTTACGAAGGTGCATACCTAAAAAAATCGGTATTAATCATAAGGGGCTGTTTGCAATCAGCCCGTAATAACATTAGTTTAGGTGAAGATAAGGCTTTACTGCAAAATAATCCCAATTCACATACACATATGGTAGGGAAAGCAAAGGATGTTTAGCTGCCCCTTCTGCCAAGGTTGGTTTGAGAATTAATTCTAATCCGATGAACCAAGGAGCTGTGGTTCTACTGGCCTCGAAAAATGAACAAACCGTTTAGAATCTAAAAGTAAACATTAAAAAATTAAAAAATAAAAAAAAAGGGGGGGGAGAGCGCCTGGGTGGCTCAGTCGGTTAAGCGTCCGACTTCAGCTTAGGTCACGATCTCACGGTTTGTGGGTTCGAGCCCCGCATTGGGCTCTGTGCTGACAGCTCGGAGCCTGGAGCCTGCTTCCGATTCTATGTCTCCCTCTCTCTGCCCCTCCCCTGATCATGCTGTCTCTCTCTCTCAGAAATGAAAACATTAAAAAATTGTTTTAAAAAAGTAAAAAAGTTTTCTTAGAGCCCAAGTTCGGACAGTTGGTTGAGAAATATGCTCTTCACAGGGAAGAAAGTATTCTGGAGAATGATCAGTTTTTACACGCTTATATACTTTTTTTTCATCTTGCACAAACTCAAGAGATTACAGATTAGCATATAAGAAGGAATCTTGAGTTTTATCAGAAAGGAATGCGGGAAGCAAGAGTCTTGATCGATATCTTAAGGAGAAGATAGTTTTCCTTCAGGCTACTCATTCCCAAAGCCAATGTACGATACATGGGTGAAGGGCCATAAATTAGGCTTTTGGTTTGAACAAAGTTTATATATAGTCCTGTTGACTGAGAAACAAATCTAATAGCATTCCTTGTATATCAGATCTTTTGAGAGTTTTTCTCATTTCCCCCTTTTGATCTATAATCTTTCAACAGAAAGCATTGATCATTATTTTGTCCCTCAATGCCAGGGTGATTGCTTATCTTCCCTGGGTCATTCATGCCCCTCAATTTTAGGCACGAGTTAAGTCAGGTAGGAGTCTATGTTGCAGGGGTCAACAGTATGTCCTTTAATAGAGAATATTACAATTGATACATATATTTTTTTAGTGAGATCCAATTGCAGTGCAAACATTGTATGTGTGCTTTGTGATCAATTTTTGCTTTTGCATTTTTGTAACATTTATATCATAAACACAGAAATAGCAATAAAAATCCAATTAATAACATTTGAAGCAGAGGTGCCTGGATGGCTCAGTTGGTTAAGCCTCTGACTCTTGATTTCAGCTCAGGTCATGATCTTGCGGTTTTGTGAGTTCAAGCCCTGCGTCAGCTCTGCACTGGCAGTACAGAGCTTGCTTGGGATTCTCTCTCTCCCTTTTGCTCTGTTCCTCCCCCACTTGCACTGTCTCTTTCTCTTCCAAAATAAATAGATAAACTCTAAAAACATTTTTTTACATAATATTTGAACCAACCAATGGGGACCAGGTACAGAATTAGAAAAGAAAAAAAATCCATTATTGGTATTTTGTAATTCTGAATTAATTTAAATATCTATTTCCTTTATCTGTACTTATTTGTGCTTTGTGATATGTTTGGGCTGATTGGTTTAAAATGGTAAGTAAATTGTTTGTTATTATATGTAACAATTTCTCTGGCCAATTAGTTTCCATATATATTATGTCTGTGTTGGTTGTAACGCTATCTCCCAAAACATTTCATCATCAATATCAGTATTAGTTTAATTTTTGTTAGAAGGCAATTCTATTTGAGATACAAAGCCATTATTACCTTAAATAGCAGTAGAGTTTTGATAAAAAGTACTCTGGTTACAAAAATAGATCAAGGAGTATTACAGAGATGTTTTGTAAACCTTCCCAACAAAATCTTTTTTCCCCATATGCCATATGTTAATTTGTATAGGCATAGCCATTATAGCCCAAGTTGGAGTGAATTCAGGGCTCAGTTGTTGTTTAGGGCCTAACCATATGTTGTTCCTGAATTCACCAATGTCAGTAGGTATTGGAATCCAATAAGAATCATTGCCTAATTAGTCACATCTTCCTCTAATGGGAAGAACTCTGGTGATGTTTATGTTAGATTTTGTCCCTATTATGGCATTGAAATTAGTTTAGTTGGCCATAAGTTTGGGTACCAATGCAATAATTGAACATTTATGTAAGTTATAGGAGTCTAATGATTTTCCACAGACGAGGAGAGCTATGTATTGGGTTTCTTTTTTAACAGTATTTTTTTGTATTTTTTAACATTTATTTATTTTTGATAGAGACAGAGTGTGAGCCAGGGAGGGGAAGAGAGACAGGGAGACACAGAATCTAAAGTAGGTTCCAGGCTCTGAGCTGTAAGCACAGAGCCTGATGCGGGGCTCAAACCCACGAACCATGAGATCATGACGTGAGCCAAAGTCAGATGCTTAACCAACTGAGCCACACAGGTGCCCTGAGTGGGTTTCTGCAGTTAATAAAGAAGGCCATGGACCCAAAGTTACCTCAGAATCTCTAGGCTGTATGACAAAGTTAGATTTAGGAGGTGACTGAACCCACCAAGTCACTCCCAAAGTAGCATCTTTGATAGATGCCCAGTGTTTTTTCTTATTTTGTCTTGGGCCTCTCCATCCACAAAAACATGGTTTGTGAGTACATTGGATATTTTGGTATGTTGGGCAAGCTGCTGCTAATCTTTTCCCATTTTACTTGGGGATCTTTCTTAATAAGTTATCATCTAACTGTATAGAGACACAATGATCGATCTGTCGAGTGTTGTATACAATGCAGGTTAAAACTGAGTTGGGTAGCACTCCTTGCAAAGCTGTTCCTAAAGAGGTACCTTATAATATATAAGCACCAGAGGCTAAAGGAACATTAGAGTATGTATAAGAGGTTATAAAATACTAGTAGAGTATTTGAAGTTATATTAGTTAAATCAGCAGGTAACCATGATATTTTATCAAGACGTCATAAGGGGGGGTTGAAAGCAAACAAATAGATTTACTTTCTTCTAATATCACAATTTTTTTTTAAAGACCTGGGGTTTCTGGGCAGCTTAGTTGATTGGGTGTCCAACTCTTGATTTCAGCTCAGGTCATGATCCCAGCGTCGTGGAATTGAACCCTGAGTCTGACTCTGCGCTGAACACACAGAGCCTGCTTGGGATTCTCTCTCTCTCTCTCTGCTCATCCACTGCTCGTGCACACGCACTCTCTCTCTCTCTCTCTCTCTAAAACATTTTTTAAAATTAGTTTTAGGGGCACCTGGGTGACTCAGTCAGTTGGGCTTCTGACTTCGGCTCAGGTCATGATCTCACAGTTCGTGGGTTCAAGCCCTGCGTCGGGCTCTGTGCTGACAGCCAGCTCGGAGCCTGGAGCCTGCTTTGGATTCTATGTCTCCCTTTCTCTCTGACCCTCCCCTGCTCACACTGTCTATCTCTCTCTCTCTCTCTCTCTCTCTCTCAGAAATAAATAAAACATTAAGAAAAAAATTTTTTTTAATTATTTTTAAAATGAATAGAATACAAGCCTGGTCCCAAATCTTGGGAAAGCAATCTACCCTGATGTCATCTACTTTTTATCCTAGTTTGTAGCTCAAATGTCTCTGATGATGTCTGAATGGCCCATTGAGCCATTAGGCACAAGATTTGGTCTATTCATGAGCTGTCGCAGTGATTTCTTTACATCGTGTATTTTTTTCAGTTTGCAGGGCTTCAGGGAAAAGGACAATTTTAGTTCTCAAATGATTCCAAGTCAGAAAGATAGGAGAAAAATCAAAATCAAAATGTTAGTTTGAAGAGTTATAGCTGGGCATTGGTAGACACTAGAAGAAGAACTGAGTCCAGTTTATAATGAATAGTATTAAAATCTAATATCTACAAAGGTGTGTTATTGAAATATTTTCTTTCTAAAATTACCTTCATCTTTCCCAAAGATAGCCAAATTAATACTAATTTGCTTGCAAAACAAGTCCAGTTTTAATAAACTTGGCCTAATTACTTACATAAGCAGAGCAAGAAGAGTGATTGACCATATAAGGTTTTTAAAATCTGCTTTGTTGGAACTTTTTTTTTAATGTTTTACTTATTTCTTAGAGAGAGAGAAAGAGAGAGAGCATGAGCAGGGAGGGGCAGAGAGAGAGGGAGATACAGAATCTGAAGCAGGCTTCAGGCCCTGAGCTGTCAGCACAGAGCCCAACGCAGGGCTTGAACCCACAAATGGTGAGATCATGACCTGAGCCGAAGCTGGACGCTTAACCAACTGAACCACCCAGGTGCCCCAAGTTGGAACTTTTTTATAAGGAATTTTAGATTGAACTTTTAATAGAGTCTCAAGGCCAGAAGCCAAA